GGGGGTCCATATCTGCTGACGGATTTTGACCGGGGGGTCCAAAACTAGGGGGGCCCAAATCCGCTGGGACACCGGCTTACCCGGCGTGTCCCCGTGTGCATTGTAGAGTTATTTACTAGTCAAGTGACTCCTTTCGTTGCTCTAATTCACCTCTCCTTCATTCAGTGATCAAGATAGTAGATTTACCATACAACACTCGCCATTAGTAAATTTCCTTTTACTGAGGAAAGTAGATTTACAACACAATTGAGTATACGATAGTAACGCTGTGTAACGCAACAGTAGGCTTCTTCTTGGCCATAATCGGTCTCAAACACTATCTCTTTAAGTGCGAGGAACACATTTGAGAGCGTTTGGTCAGAGCTGTTGAAGAAGGATCAAAGCGGCCATCCAAATCTTTGAAAAGCTCCAAACTATGACGTACATCAACTTTGACCTTCTCGAAAACCGGTCTCAAATTACTTACTGACAAACAGTTATTGCATTTGTCCTTGGGAGCCATAGAATACGCGACAAATACGAACAAAAAAATACTTTTACACATTCAGAATAAATAAAATTATATTTACCTATGGTGAAAGGAAAAAGGAACGGCCTTATTTTTACTAAATGTTCAGTCAAAATCTGCCGATTTCTGCTGCTTTCACCGCCGTATTGAAAATGAAGCTACCACAATGCAACGCAATCATATTTTTATTGAATTGAAAGTTCAACGAATGATTTAGATACGTCCCAATGTTTCCTGTTTTTTTTCTTCATTTCTTTGGTTTTTTTCGGAGTTGTCTCACGCGCATATAAAAGACGAGTTTAGCGTCCCTTTAATCAGTTCTTCTTGAGTTTTGAGTTGTCTTGGCAAACTTTCGCTCTTTCTCGTTTTCTTAACCTTTGGCACAAACGGAACCGATGTGAGTACTTTTGTAACTTTGTTTTTTCTAGTCTACCTTTTCAGTGTTGGACGATGATATACGAACAGATATTCCGTTGTATTGCAGTATTTAAGGCCAAAATTGTACCAAATACAAGTGAACGCCCACCATCTAGATAAGAACAATGGGCTGTTATCCAGCCACCTAAAATTCCTGTAATTTGTATCGAAACTTTTGTACTTTGTACTGTTTTATTTGCAATGCTCTTTATCATTTTAATCTCTTTATCGACGTTTAGGCCCAGTTCTTTACACGCGATTCTTTGATTATGCATTCCGCGACATTTCATTATATTGATAGAGCTTCGTTGCATTGTTGTTTCAGTTTATGATCGATAGATTAATTGATTGTGCAATTGATCGTGATTTTTCATCGTTGATTGTGGTTCGTGGTTGATTGCTTTTCAAGAATAAAGATTCGTGCAAACAGTCAACTTTGGTTTGTTATCTCGATCTGTAAAATAGTCCCTAACACCTCGTTAACCTGGTGCTCCAGGTGGATTGCTTGAAGAACTTGGCTTCTCATAAAAGCTGGTACGACAATTCTGTCGTCTTTTAGAACTTGGTCATCCTCAATGTGAGGTCGCATCAAAAGTGTCAAAACTCCCATAGCTCTTGTGGGCATTACTTTCTGTAGGGAGGCCAGCCATTGAAGGAAGTATACTTCAGTAGAATCATGGTGTGGTTCTGTGCTCTAGAGGACTTCACTGTTGTTAGGTCAATGGGGGTGGGTAAGAAGTGGATGTTAGGCTGTGATGCTGAGTCCTCTGTCGTTTACTCAGGCTTGTATCCTGCTTTCCTGACACACTCGTGACAGGGCATCCGCAACCAGAATGGATCTCCCTTACTTGTACCTCACATGGACATCAAATCGCATTTATCTCAGGAATAGCTCCTGCAGCCGCCTTGGAGCCTTGTTTATGTTTTTCTTGAAAATTCGTTCCATAGTGGAGTGGTCGGTTTGAACTATCACGTATCGACCGAGAAGGTTGTTCTCAAACTTCTCTAAGCCATATGTGATAGCTGAGCACTCATGCTCAATATTTGAATATCTGGATTCGGCTTGGGTGAGTTACCGAGATGCCATGGCGACATTGTGTTCATTTTCTTGAAAGTTATTGTTGCGTTTCCCGCAAAAGGTTCAGTTAGTATGAAAAGCCTCTCATCACAGAGCCATATACCACAATGTCATCAGCGATACCCATTGCACTGGGGATGTCTGTATACCTCGTCAAGTTTGCATTGGAAGATAATAATAATAAACTAGTGATAGTGACACTAATAGTGCCCCCGGTCTTTTGATCTGATCTGATTTGAATACAAAGGAAACTTGTTAAGTACAAATTATGGTAACGTGGAATAGGGTATGTCGAATCATAAGAACCTAATACTAAAACTTGGCGTTGTAATACGTGCTTTATGCACGAGATGGGTTTGAGAAACGCTATAACTAGCTGTTATACAGGATTTGAAAAGGTGGCTGCATAAAAAATACGATGTGACTGCATAGTTATTTGTCAGTATGCTGTATTGTTGATTAGAATGTAGCAGTCTTCATGCCTATATAAAAATGATTTTTACAATTACCGCACTTGTAACACGAGAGATATCAATGGGAATACAAGATCATAAGTTGAGTTGTAAAAACTGTAACAGATAAAACAGTCTTTTTTTTCTTTGCTATTAATTAAGTATAGTAACGGTAATTTAAAATGAAGTGTAAATCACGCTCACCGTTTTAAAGCGATATACAGTATATTAAAATACAAATTGAGCTACTGAGCTTCTCCTTTTGAATTTTAAATTTCAGTTTGATGACAGCTTAATTTTCTTGGAAAAAAAATATTTCTTTCAATATAAAAATAGTTAACTGTAACAATTTTTTAAACATGAAACTATTTATATTCTTGTGAGGAAATGTTTCCTACTATATTGAAAAAAATTTTAATTGCAGCATTGCTTCTAAAAAATTGTTATTTAATCAGTCGTTGCAATGTAAAAATAGCAACGAAATGATACAAAACATCTATAATGTTAACAAAATACTGACAAATGTTACATTTTGTGTGACTAAACTTTAGTTAAATAGCTGGAAAAAGGAGATATCTTATTAACTGAGACATTCTAAGTTTTATAATTTGGTACATGAAACTGTTATAATATTCTTTGCTGTGGAACAATTTCCTACAATATGTAAAAAACACTGAACTGTAACATTCTTACTGACATTATTAATTGATTGTGCATAAAATGCCATCATAATTTTCTTTTGTTGCTATGTGAATGCAACAGAGTCATAAATATTAGTGTTCATCTCATCGTGCTTTGAAGTGAGAGACAAATTGATTTGACCCTTTTTGGAATACTGGATAAATGTTATGATATATATCAATGTTGCAATTGTACCCTGATATTGAAATCACTGTAATTATCATGCTTTCCACGCTTTTGTAATACAGTATTGTTATAGTCATGCAAATAAAGCTCACTGTTGTTGTTGTTGTTGTTGATTCACCTACTTGATGCTCGAAGTCGGAGTTAGTCTATTTGATTCGTACTTGGTGTGGTGAATTCAAACCACAAATGTCAACCGTCGCATCTGAGTTCAGTCGCCTTCATACGCATAAAATCAAGCCTACTATGACATAAGATTGTGAACTACGGTTGTTTACGTGGAAATTGCCGCTTTTGAGTTGAGTAGATCATGACTTCGCACGCGTATAAACAAGTTATTCAAATACAGTAATATGGGTTCTTACTGGCTACAAGCAGGTCCATTCAGGTGGGAGCAGCAGCTGAGTAATCGTGAAGCGTTTTTGTTGCTGGTCGGGCACTGCTCCCAGGCATCGAACAGTTTCAGCTGAAGTTGCCTGTACTTTCTTCTCTGGATCCGCTTTAACTTCTTGTCTGATATAAGCTCGATGAGGCGCACGATGTGTATTTTGCTCAACCCATTTTCCCGTATTCACCTGAAACATTAGTTTTTTTTTTTCATTCTTTGAATCTCAGTTTAATGTAAGGTCAGCGTGAAACATACATTCTTCTCTTTCACCAGTTTGTTTCTCATTTAAATCATCTTCCTTTGAAATAATCTGTTCAATGTGTTGTGAAATGGAATCCAGTTGAATAGACCAATTTTGAACGAGTAGTTTTGCTTCAGTTTTATTTAGAATGCCAGGCCTCAATGTAAACAGAAACAGACCCATCTTGGTCTCCCCTTGAAGTAAGCTAAGGTTTATACTTGGGTAACTGGTATTTACAGAACAAACCATACAAAGGTCCTTTTGGATTTGATGGATAATTTGGGTAGGTTTCAATTACAACAGGTGATTTTCTTGGCGTTACACCATGCTTACCCTTAACGATGTTAGATGTAAACTGTACTAAATTCAATACTGATATTCCAGGAAAATCACATTCATTTACCTTTCTACTTGCATACAAGTCAACAAGGAATGGTTCTGTTTTAAGTGAATTGTTTTCAACTGTCATTTTTCGTGAAGCATTGAGGGAAGCTGAAATTACCTGGAATGATGAACTCACAAATTTATAGAAAGAAGTTGGTGCATAACCTCTCGAATACCCTTATCTCTTTGTCCGACAGCTTTCATTATTAACTTTTTGATAATTCTACTGCTATCACTGTCACTTGAGGTTTCATTCAGTATTGAAGTAAAAACATCCCTAGCAACTGATGACATTTTCTCACCCTTAGAGGCATATTTGGTTGAGAGTTCTTTTTCTATACAGTTGTTAAAGGCACAGTATGTAAATATAGGGTGTGCAGCAAATCTACATTTCATCCATTTCCATCTTTTTTTTCACCAAACTTAATTTAGTGTTTCAACTTGTTTGCAAATGCCTCTGTGACTCAGTCACTGGTGTCAGCTAAACTGGAATTGTTTGTGGGATCACCCTTTCCATTTGGGAAAAGTGTAGGAGAGGACATCGATGCTAAGTAATGTACATTGAATTAATTCAATGGCTCACTGCCTACTTCCCAACTATACCGGTTGGATTCAGTTGTAAACTCATTGATAATATATTTTTCTTTTTTCTTATGAAGATTAGTTGGTAGGAAACTACTCATGTCACTTTCATCATGGTACACTTTTTCGTAATTCTCTGAATTGTCTGGTCCAGTATCTATGCCTGGTTCATCACTTGCATCATCGTCAACACATTCCAATGTGTTGACACCAGTAAGCATACCATTTTCAGGTAAAGTCTGAAGTGACTGTGAATCTATTTTAACATTTTGATATAGCACATTATTGGGTTTTCCTCTTTCATGAAAACCAGTAAGCCAATAGAGAGCATCATCAACTTTTTTTCTCACAATAAAATCTTTAGAATCATTGTTCTTTCCAGAAATAATGAAAACAATTACTGGAAGGTCCTTGGGGAATCTAGGTAGTATGTCTGCAAGCTGTTGTACATCCTGAGGTAGAGTAATGACATGCCCTTTACAAGCTTTCTGACCACCCCTTGGTTTAGTATAGACATGCATAGCTGGGAATGCTCTTGCAATAAACATTTCTTGAAATTGAGTTAACCCTTGTAATTCTCAGGGAACAGGAGATGGTGTCATTGGATTTTCAATCGAAATTTTTTGGGGGATACTTTTGTCTCTTGAACATCTGGAACAAATATACTAATCTGATTGCTTGGGTTTGTTTTCAAGGACCATGCCTCGTGACACACAGAACATTGGTAGATAGATAATTTTATACTTCTATGAAATTTTTGCATCATTTCAAGTGCCAGTGTTTATTCATAAAGAGGCTCTTTACTAGTTTGAAATGACGGGTCTTGACTGCACGCTTAATCTGGTTCTTTATCAAAAACATTAAATGATGCTGAAGAACATTCACATCTGAAGAACTTTCACATCTGCATTTGCGTCTGATGTTTGTTTTTTATCTCTGACATCACATTCACTATTAAGACACTGTTTTCATGGACAGTTTTAAGTTGAGAATGTGTAACTGCATTATCATATTGTATGGTTTGAAGTTCAATGTTGTTTTCTACTTGCATGTCATGACACACAGGGTAAGGCGTATTTTGTGTGACATTGTTAAAATGACTGTTACAGTCTTCAGAAATCTGTGCTCTTTCAAATGCTGATGACATTTTGCAATTGTCCTCATTGCAGGAATGTTCACTGGTAAGTTAAAATACTGTTAATAACCATCCATTTGGAAAACGTTGCAATGACTTTATATCAGGAAACTCTTAATACAGTTTTACAAAGATCATCAAAATATTGGCACTTGTTGTCCTGATTGTGAAAAGCACAAGTGAAACGTTTATTGGAGCATCGAACCATAGCATTTAAACCATACCAACTACCGTCAACTTCAATATTGTCATAAATTATCGGTCCTCCCATCATTTCAGGAGGAAATGATTTAAAAAAGAGATTTTAAAAGAGAAAATCATTTGAGTGCAGATTTCACTAATGGATCATTTTTTGATGATCCACAGTCAGTACATCTTAACTTTCCAGGTTTCAAATGCATCCTTGAAACATACAGTGGCCAGGAAATCTTATCTATTCCAAACTTTTGTGATCCAGACTGTGTTACATACGTTAGAAATATTCTACAATAAGATTCAAATGATGTCTAAGTCGCAAAAAGACTCAATTCTATTGCATTCAATCGGCTTAAATTGTTTTTCTCAAATAGTTGATTGAAAAATGCATTGCAATCTCTCTGCTGAAATGAAGTGCATTGTTCTATGGGGTACAGCCACACTTGTCACGAATCTCTGCACGAAGTTCCTTATTTCCATTGCATTGACAGTAATGTGACAGAGCACTAAACAGTAACCCTGGAAATTAACTTCTAACAGTTAGTTTCGACAGAAAAGGAAGAAACAAGTGTGTAAAAATCTCCAAGAAACAATCAACTGCACAAGAATAAGTTCCAGGTTTGATAAAGGCAGAATTCATGAAATGCGATACAACCATACGCCTTTGCTTCATAATAAAAAATCTCACCTATTTCACCTCTAAAATCGAGTGACTCGTTATTGATGTTGTCTACGTTCCCATTTATTTTACTTTCATTGATTTCATCTAGTAACGTAATCTTTGCCATGAGAACAGTTTTCAGACTTGCGTCTCAGTGTTATTTAAACAATAGCTGATACCTTAAGCAGGTACTACCACTCTGGGTCAGAGGGGCAACTCCACATTCCCCACTACCTCAGTCATCCCTGACTGTGGTCTTGCCACTGAATGAAGTTTAAAGTCTTACCAAGGACAGTAACCCTTAATGTTCTCGCCTTGCACAGTTCTCCCGAGTTCTTTACTGGGTCATGAGGCTTCAATATGTCTTCGTTCATTTTTTTCTATTAACAGAATAACAAATGCTGAGAAGGACACTCATGTAAATAAATGTCAAAACCACTTATTACCCGTACCGCACAGTTTCTGACTTTTTACTTAATTTCACCTTTCTCAGTGTTTTCTTCACTTGGTTTTCGACCGAGTCTTTCTGTCGCTCTTGTGTGTGATTTGTGTCTGACAATCACAGAGGTTGGACTGACTCTTTCAATCCAGCAATCCAGCAATCGAACTTACGAACTTCCTATAAGTACTTCGGACGCTCTATCACTGGGCTCTTTCAGACTCGTGGGCAAGTTTGGTGACAAAGTTCCGGCATGTTGCGAGAATAGGAATGTCCATATGCGATTCCTATGCCCGATGATCATGTAAATGAAGATTGTTAATATTAAGCCTGGTGATTTAAAGTTAAGGAAAATATTATTCGCTGAATTATACAAGCATTAACAGAGAAAAAAAACTCCAAGTGTTCGCAATAGGACTCGCTCATGCGACCTTCCAATTAGTACTTCAGACTTTCCACCACCTAAAGGAAACCCATGACAAGCTAAAGCCGTGGTGACAAACTACGAGGATAAGAATGACTATATGTGATGCCTATGCGCAGTGATGATTTAAAATGAACATGGTAAATAGTTATATAAACCAAAAATTAATGATCAGCCCACTTTAGGGTCTAGTAGGACGGTGTGTGTGTTTAGTATTGTGCAGTATATATCTTGTTGGACGTTTTGATGTGTAGTATCACTGAGTAATTTTAAGAGTTGTGCTGTATTTGGACGAGCCCTTCGCAGTCGAGTCAAAACACATACAACGAGTTAAAATACTAGCAGTATAAAACATGAAATGTCTTGTTATTTATTTCATTGTTTTCGCATTTCTTTAAGGGCAGGAAAAGCAATGCAAATAGAAAGCGTAGCCCGCGCAATCGACCGGTTAAACAGGTTTTTACAGTTTTGTGACGAACTTTTAAGGTTACTGTCAACAAAGTATGGTACCTCCCGGAAAAAAACGTCCTACGTGCGCACCTTAAAAGAAACCATGGAAAGCTATATATCAATGTAAAGCTTATAAAGTATAGACTCTGATAATGAAAAAATTTTGAACATAAAACTACTGAATTACAAGCCTCCGCGTTACTGCCGACCTCAAAACAAACTGGACATGCGGTCATGCCGCCAAGCAGTAAAACGCGACATCGAACCCCCTGGAAAGTCTCGTGATAAAGAACTCCTTTTAAATTCCCAGGAGAGGTCATTTCGCGAAAGAGGGAAAATGAATCTACCTTGAATTAAACGAAATCCAAAAACTCATCGGGAAAAATAGAAGGAAAAATGGGCAGAGCAAGCTAAGGGAAAAAAATTTTACTTTGATTTCTAATTTTTGGACTCTTCTTTCTCGACGTTTTCCGAGAGGTGCCAGCCATCCCCTTTAGTTGTGCAGTGCAAGGAAGCAAACTATGCAAATCGAGATCCTGGACGAAAGCCCGCGGAAAACGTCAATTCTCTGCTAGAGGCCTTTCCGATTATGACACCATCCGCTTTTTACTACAGGTTACTTTCAGCCATATCTAGTTTTTTACGATATTACATTTTTCTCCGACAAATTAAACTCAACTGCTTTCTCTCACTAAAGAACAATATCTATGGATATACCTAATTGGCTCATATTCACAATGTCCCCTCATCATCAATTGTTGACATGATGAAATTCCAGAATTTCACTGAAGTAAACTAGGGGAAACACAAAATTTCAAACTTCGTTCTCCTATCAGATGAAGAGAATCTGGAATTTCGCAAATCAAAATCTCAGAACATCTCTTTGCTTCAATTATATGATTTATTAAACACAAACTATTTAAAGTTAAAATGACTTGCAACTGCGTTGGGATTAACTACCGTTGCCTCATTGTATACGTTGCTAATGATACTAACTACACTGTGCAACGCTGCAACTACTTTCATCATAAACACTTACCTGCAGAACTGACTGAAGATCTCAAGTCAGATTTTGTATCTATTAGAGAAGTATTACTTTTTAACCTCCAACCCCTTATTGCTGCGGATACTAACAGCAATTGTTAAGCATTCAAGTCGTCAAATTTTGACGCTGTTTTTCACTTTAAGAAGGTCGAAATTAAAATTCGACAGGTTAATAAGTCGCTCATGACAAATAGACTCTATCAATATAAGTCCTAAAGTCGTTTTTAGTTCAGCTTCATATCCGATGCTAAAGGTGGGGGTGAGCAGGGGGGGGAGGTGATGGGGCACTTGTACAGATTATTGCTCCGGTTTGAAGCACAAATGTCTTAAAAGTAATCGGGTCTATTTGATCCCCTGCACATCAACTATTGAACAAAAGTCTAATTATCAAAAAAGCTTTTGGTGAGAAATCAATACCGGCCAGAAATAGAGTGAAAAAAGAAAATAAATCAGTCACTTTAGCTGCAGTACCCGTGGAGGGAACGTTTAGTCCTGCAAATTTTGATAAAATAACGTATTAGAAAACCCCTCAGTTTCATCCTTGGTCATGACCACAATGATTTCTCGACTATAACAATCGCAAGTCACGTACAGAATAGCATAATGAAAACACTCTTTCGTTCTTTGCGTTATATACGTATGTACGCTTCTTCGTCGGTCATATGGGTGTTAAATTAGTCAAACATATGCAAGATAATAATCGATAGAGCGGTTAAGTTATAGCCGGCTGTTTTATTTATTGAAGATACAAGCTTTTCCTTGTAACTTGGCTTCCACCGCCTTGTCGTTTAGTGAAGTTAATGCACATGAAGTACGTAGAAGCCAGATAGTGCGATCTATAGAATTGTACTGATTTTTTTTTTTTTTCTTTCGATGGTCTTCGACCTATCTTTGAAAAAAATTGTACCAAACAAATATATAGCAAGCTAAAACGATTTCATGCATTGAAGATTTCAAACAAGCGTTCGTTTCTTCTTTTTTTTTTCTTTTCAAACACGCTTTTCGAATCCCTATGATGATCTTTTTTCCTTGGATGAATCTCTTTCTGCAAGTCCCCGTGACGTAGTTTCCTGGCGAGTCATGACATTACATACATGTTACAAGACATAAGACTCCTTTTCAGAAGAGCACCGCTATGGTATATCTTTTTCATGGTCATCCACCAAAACCACCTCGGTCGAGAGGGATGAGATCTCTTTCTGTAAGTCCCAAGTGATGTAGCCGAACATCAAAAGCTGTAAATCCCATGATTCTTGAGGAACAAACAGAAACAGCATACAGCGAGAATTTTAAGTCGCGAACCATTGATGGTAGACATGCAGATAATTTAGGATACGTAAATTCTGTTGATGAGGCGCTTAAACTTATTGCGGAATTTGAAACAGGATTGACGACGAAGTTTTCTTTCTTTAAAGCTGTCAAAGGTTTCGGGAACATATATTTATATATATTTGATATAGCTCTTTAGCATTACAAAGCTTTGCTATCGCTATTGTGCATTCTCACTAGTTTGTCTAGTTCAAGTCCTCTGGCATGGCTTGGATGATACCACAATCGTGGAATCATTCGGGTTAATTTAATGCTTACACCTCCTCCCTCGGACAGAAGTCACAAAATACTGGGGGAAGATGCATGAGATATTTAAGGAGCAAAAATTCGTTTTTTACTGGTGTGTCTTTCCTAATTTTGGGAAGGAAAGTGTTCAATTGCCAGCACGGCATAGATTGAACAGCTGGAGAGAAAAGGAAACGAAAAGATACAGAAGAAGTACTGTATATAATAATTTCTTTTTATCCTCAACCTTTGTGTTTCTGTCAACTATGGCTTGCTAATTTGAAAGGTCAAATACATGAATGGGTCATATGACATTGATCTCAGAATACTTTTATGACAAACGTGATAACAGTTCAATCTTGGCTAAATTGAAGATGGTTTAGAAGTTAACAATTGTAAGAACTTTTCACTAACATATGCTGCTGACAAAGGAGAAAATATATGCAATTCTACATTTTTTGCATTCTATCAAGCAATCATATGTTTGCTATGTTTGACACTTCTGTTTTGTCACATTCAAAAAATAACTTGAGAAATACACTGTCACTCATCTTACACTGTTATATTTTATTACAGAAGGCTGGAAACAAAGATTTTGTTTTCAAGAAAATAAATTCCTTGTCCAAGACACAAGGAAGTTTGACACTGTCACAGATAAAAATCGAGAAATTTTATTTTTTTCAGAGAACAAGGTAGTTCTACTCATGTATAAACAGAAGGATTTAATAAATCAGATAATGACTCCTTTTCTTCCATTCAAAACAAGCAAAAAACCTATAGAGGTTCCAGTCTGGTCTGCAAATGAAAAGGAGGAAGGTGATCACTGCAAAATTAAGCATTAGGGTTCTTATTTATAACATATTGATTATTGTATACTGATATCTAGAAATTTTTGCAAGTAGCAGCCAGCTGAGTTATAGTTTGAGTTTTATCAAGTCCATTACATGTTGTTAAGATTTAAGACCTTCCTTTTGAGGAGCTGTAATATACCAATCATCAATTAGGGACCACAAAGAAAAAATTTATTTATAGAGACTTTTTGAAGGAGGTATGACAAGTGCAGGCTCCATGCTAAAGTTACAAACAACATGGCGTCCAAAATGGCGGCAAATGACATCCTTTGTGGTTTCCTTTCTCTGTGTTTATTTTTCAAGTTATGTACACAGAAGAACACAAAAATGACAAGGAATGCTTTTGAATATCAAGAGGCTGGAATAAGCAAGAAACCAAAACTGAATTTTAATCAGTACAAAGTTAATTTGATCTTCCAATGTTATTTAACAACGAGTCGGTGAGACTGAAAGCCTTTTTTTCTGCGCCTTAGACGGTAGTCCTTCATGGCGGAAATAGTGGAAGAACTTTCTGGACCCGAAGTTTGCCAGTTCTTCATCCTCTCTGAAATTTAGTAGTGGAGAACTTTCCAAAATATCTCTACATACGAAATAGATTGTGGTTATTTAGCAGGTCACATCAGTCTTCTGTAAGGAAGTAGCAGAAATTTCTGTGGTGGTTTTGTTGATAAAATGAACGTTTTTCAAAGTATTCATCAAAACTAATTAGTGGTATAAATCTTTTGTGACACGTTCAGAGTTTTGGTGGATCATCCACCAAAAGCACATAAGCACCTTTTAAATACGTGAAATATCTGCATAAAATTGCGTAAAATGCAATTTACCATTTCTTTAGTAAAAGTTTTGACGCAATTTCCCAAACAAATAATACACTTTCATGAGCTTCATCGTCACCATAACAGCTCACGAATGTCACCGCAGGCTGGAAACCGTGTGGCAGTCAGATTTTGGATCATCTCCTGTCGTATCAAGCGCTCTTGTGGCGGACTTCAATGGCGATAATGTTAGAGATGTCCTTGCCACTTCCTTGGATGGTCAGGTATCAGTTGTTGATGGACGGTCAGGTCTTAACCTTGCTGGATGGCCAGTAACTCTACCCGGAAAACTCTTATTCGCTGCACCTCTACTGGTATCTAGAACGTTTTATGTGGTTTCTATGAAAGGAAGAGCAACAGTTTTGTCGTAATATATAGAGATTCATGTAATTCCCACTCTGCTAGAACACGAATACAAAGAGTCTGTTTCTTACTTATCCCTGATGCTGCTGAAGAAATTTGTTGTCATCATGAGTAATGACTGATCATGTTGTTCTTGTTTCAGTTTGATTATGACAGTGATGGGATGAATGAGTTAGTTTTGGTTACAGCAGATGGTGTTGTATCCTTTGTAAAGAATGATGGTTCCTTTGTAGAGGGAGAGACATTTAAGGTATTAAAAGTTGCTTTCTTTGGATAATTCTATTCCCAAAATTTAAAGTTTTGTCTTTTTAAAGAATCACAACATGCCTTATTAGGTTATCAGTTAAACATCCTGGTAATTGTCATGTGTCACATCTTCTTGGTGTCATGAATGGATATTGAACTACATTTGTAGGGAAGGTTATTAACCTTTTAACTCCCAGAGGTGATTAACATGTAACTTCTCCGAATAAAATCATTATCCAGAAAGCAGGTAATGAGAATACTCAAATTTATCAGGTAAAGTTGTTCAAGTTGTTCTATTAAAGCAAGGCAAAGTAACATATCTGCTATTGGTTTGTGGAAATGCAAACTGGAGATAAATTAATCAGAAGAGTAATGCTTGCACATGCAGATGAATTCTTTGCCTCTAACTTCCACCCAATTTTTAAAGTTAACATATCAATTACCTACAAAGAAATAAGACAACTTTACAGCCAGTGGATTCAGGTGTGACTTAAATAAACAATAGTCTCTATTTGGCACAAAAATATGGGCAGATATATTTGTCCACGAAAATTATCCGTTCTAAGACGTGAACAGGTTTCTGAGAGTGAAGCTTGAGGAAAACTGTTAGTTTCAAGAAACAGATCGTGTCCAAGGACAAATATACTAGTATTTTGCCAAATAGAGGCTATTGTACTTCTTGTATCCTTCAATTTTTTTTTTGCAACAAGTAGAAAAATGTTTACAAACAACTTACTTTTCAGTGTTCTCTGGTATGACTTTATGAACAAATGAATGTTTCCCTTCTTCTGTAAGAATGGCTAAATTAAATTCATCTTGAATTAAATTGAAAACAAATGCTTTTATTGTAGTAGATGTAAGGTTTGAAAATATGGCAATATTACTTAGGATATATCTTCACATATTCCTTAGTTTTAACTGGAACATACTGCATCACATGACATGTTGAGACCAAATGTGCACAAGCACAAGATGTATTTGATGGATTATAATCACTCTTATTTTGATATTCTTTATTTCTTTTTAGGTTCCACCATTGGTGATGAAGAGAGATTGGTTTCTGGTGGATCCTAAACAGATTTCCAACAGAGACTACATCAGTTCTGTTTCAAATCCTGCAAAGTCAGCCAGACTTGCTTTCATATCAGAATTTATCCATGATAATCTGAAGGTACCCAGTAGTTAGGAATAAAAAAAATTTTTTGCATAGCCAAGACTTCTATGAACTCACAAGTAACATGAACATGTAGCTTGTTTAGTTTAGTTAGCCTATGGTTGCAATGTACATTACTTATAGCAAATACACTTGTCTTTTTAATATTTAACAGTTACTTGGCAAAGTAGAATTGAATATTGCAGAATTACCTCCAGTATCCACTGACTGTGAGACTAATAATTATTCTTTTGTATGAGTGGTTATTATCAGAGGAAAATCATCAATTTTTTCTGTTATTGAAGCCATTCAGGGGTAAAAATGGAAAGCATAGGGAACACAAATGTATTTGTTACAATTGTTTTGGTTACTCATATCACAATAAGCAACCAGTTACCAAGAGCAGATTCCAGATTCTTGTGTTTTGTGGAATGGAATTTTCTTATATCATTTTTTATCTCTTCTTTGGTAACATTGACAGAATGCAAGACAGCCATTTTGAAATTTGACACCCGTACTGTATTCACCTTGTGTGATTGTGGCAAGATAACAGTCAATCCTTGACCAATCATAGTGTGAGAATCTCTATAATCATGTGAGCAATTATACTAAGTTGAATTAAACTGAGAAAGAGGTCCTGTAATCTGAGTGCTTAACACTGCCTGTGTTTATTCTGATCTCTGTAGTCTAGAGTAACTAGGAGTACTGCCACACCTCTTGTGCTCGGATACTGTTTTCTTTTTGAGAATGAGACAAGACATTGTAACCCAGTGCAATTCCTCCTTCAGGGGTTGAACATAGATCTCTTATTAATTCAGTCAATGTTGACTATTAAATGATGCTTTTGATCAGCAAACAATATCTGAGGCAGGAAATAGTCATACAGGTGGGTTGCAATTAACAAAAAGAAGCCTGAAAAATTCAGGCATTGTAGCCCACCTGTGAGAATCATTTCTTTCAAAGAATTTTAGGAAAAGAGTAGTTTGCTTGCATTCCCCTTACTGAGAGAGTACAGTGTACTTCCAAATAAAATCCCAATTCCCAGAATTAGTTTTCTTTTTTACCAAGGGTAAACAGCAGTATTCAAACTCAAGCATTGACCATGGTCCAGGAGACAGTTTTTGGTCCAAATATCATCCAGGCAGACGCCCATCTGGTTTATCATCGGATGGCATCAGTGTCTTTGTAGACCCTCACATTCTGTCCACTCCACTCATCACAGACTTCAATGGTGATGGAACTGAAGAAGAACTTGTCATAGTGACCAACTTCTATTTTGAAGAGGAAAGGTATGAAGTGAAACTTTTTGTCACCAGACCTCTGCTCCTTTTTAAATTTAAAGGAGCTATACTGTTGATCTGCATCTGAATTATATCCAATGCCAAAATTTTCTGCTTTTACCAATGGTACACTCTTTTAAATTTCTATCCACATAGATTTTAACTGCCAGCTATTTTTGACATTGTAATATTGCTTCTAAAGTACTTCCCAAAATACATTGGCATACATTATGTTGAGTTTTTTAACTTAAATATGTTATCTCCATATCTAAATGAACAAGTTAGTTGTAAACGTAACTCTTTGTTTCTTGTGCCATTTTTTTCTCTTCTCACAGCCAGTTGGCTGTATCAGAACAAGGATTGTCATCAGAGGATCTTCAAAATTATTTGGGAAGTGCTATAATTGTGTTCAATCTTCTCACAAAACAGCTTGTGTTCTCATCAATTTTGCATGTGTCTAGGGTAAGTAACTCTGTGTTTGTACAGTTTGTGACTGACTTATTATGAAAAATCACAGACTTTTACTTTACTTCTGAATAAGATTGCTATCAGCTATGGTGTTGAGGACTTGTGTTTCAATGGAAGTGCATTAATTAGTTTTTGGCTACAATGTACAGTATTTGGTGGCAAATCTACAGGAAAGATCAGACTGATTTAAAAAATTTTAAACTAGTTTTGGTTTTATATCCATCCAACTTCTTAACCTCTCAAGGAAATTTGTACCTTACCATATATACATGTAGCATTTCAGAAGGTTTAAAAGGTTATGCCCCTGTTTCTGATTGGAGGAATTAATCATTTTGTTTCTTTCAATCTGCTTTTATAGGCCATTATTATAAAAATTGGCGGCTGCATATTTCTGTGAAATAAGATCTCTAGTTTTATTCTTCACTCCTCTAGTTTCAATCTTATTGAAAGGCACAATACAGTACATTTAGAACTCCACTAACTCAAACTTTAAAATCAAACATTCAAAGATTAACCATCTGGATGTTGATTTTCTGAATACTTCTCTAATGTATAGAGGTTTTACAATGTGTTTGTTTTGTGCTGGATGAAAAAGACTCTAATTTTTTTGTCATCACTAAGGCCCAGCTTACAGCCATTATGTGTAGGAGAGCAATTTGCAGTTTTAGGCTGTCTTCTTAAAATTTGATGTGAACTCCAATTTTTGGAACTTTGCCAACATGGTGTTCTATGTACATTATGAATATACTTGAATAAATTCACTAGGCTGGAATATTCAAAATGAGTCATGTACAACAGAGTGAAGAATGCTAATAATGAACATAATTTAAGATTTTTTTTTGTTCTGCAGAAGCCTAGTCAGTACCCTGCTTATGCTCTGTCCTCTGGTTCTGCCATTCCAGGAGGTGGGATTGTTGTGGGAACATCCTCAGGAACTGTTTACTTTATAAAAAGCTCCTTAAATGAACCTTTGTCCCTTAGTACCATGGACAGTGTACCTGGCCAAGTAAGTAAATATTTGAATCCCCTTAATCTATGATAAGTACATGTTGAGCTCCGGGCTGGAAACTTCTAGTTTAGTACAAAACCTTTTTGTGAAGTGTTTATTTTGTCTCCTGAATTGGAGACCTATCTTTTGCTGATATTTATTACTTCTGTGTAACTTGTACAAATGACTAGAATTTAAAATGAATCTTGTATCAAAATGTAAATGTCATGAGAATAATTGAAATGATCACCAATTTAAAAAGCTCCTGATTGTCAAACATTTTCTCCCCGTTAGTACCTTTGGAAATATAAGGGGAAATTAGAAGTCAGTCACTCTAAGGGGTTTTGATACTGAAAGCTGCTGATTATATACATCTGGGCAATTGCAATACAGGTATCCTTATCTAAATATATCATTTTCAGGTCATTATATCAGATGTGAATCAAGATGGCTTATTGGAAATTCTAGCTATAGACAACAGTGGCAATATTGCTTGCAAGGATCTTAATGGGAAAATGGTTTGTGCTGTTATCTTAATTTCCTCTCTGATAAAATGAAATGTCGTTGATACGTTACATTCTACAACAAACATTTATGTTCCCCCATAGAATTCTATTTTAGACCTTCACTTTGAAGCCTTTTGGAGATGCAGTAGACTATTTGAATCTCTGATGGGCCATTTATTTTAGAGATTTGTTCCAACAAACAAATTGCTGTAGATGGCATTAGATATTTGAGTCTTGGAGCTGGTCCACTTGCCTACATCAAACCTTTTCCTTCTCAAGATCTGACATCAACATGTTTGAAATTCTCTTAACTGATAATCCAACAGTCCCTTTTCAACACATGTTGATAGGTCATTGTTGTACAGTGTGTATCATGAAAATGTGTTTTGACTGATTAGTTTTTACTTCTCTGCCTACCTGACCATTTGCAAGTGCAAAGAATTTAGCAAAAACTCTAGTTTGGCTATAATTCTTACATGATGATGTTCCTAACAGTTTAACTCCCAAGATCTGATTGGTAATTTCCCCCTCTAGCTGCTACACATTTCCTCTAAAATTAGTAAAGAGAATATGGTGTTAGAATATGAAAAAAAACTTCTATGTGATAAGTTTAAGTACTCGCATTAACTTTTTGCTAGATAGTGTATGGATATTATAGGGAGAAGTTACCTCTCAATCACTTCTGGGAGTTAAAGGGTTAATTCTCATTACATGTTTACAGTATAGTGTTTAGGAATTATAATAAGAATTCACATACTGGTTATTTCTGCGCATGGAATGGTTAGAGCATTGCAGCCAACTCCCCCTAAGAAAAGAGCAATCAGGAAGGATTCTAATTGTCCATCTTAGACAGGTGCCTTTGTTCCAGAGACTCCTAAGTCTCAGTAACACAGAAGGACAATGGGAGTCATTCATAAAGGAAAAAGTTGTCAAAGAATGAGAAGGGAACTCATTATCTCCTAGGGCTGATTCCTAATGACCATAAAAGGAGGTTTGGCCTCCCTACAGAGGTTACCATAAAGAGAGAGTTGTCTGTATTTTTTGATTACATTTAAATTTCAGTTTTTATCCCTTTCTGCTCCCAGAAGTAATTGACATGTTACTTCTCCCAATAACATTAATACATCATCTAGCAAATAGCTACTGAGAATACTCAAACTTATCAAGTAGAAGTTGTTATCTTGACCTAGCACCCAATTCTTCATAGCTAATTTACTGACAAGAAAATGTGTACCAGCGAGAGGGGATAATTAACAATCAGATTTTTGGAGTTCAAGTGTTAACATTTCGTTTAGGTGTGGGAGGCCACAGTTTCCAGTTCAAGTGCTTCAGGAATCCGTGTTGCTGATGTGGATGGAGATGGTTTTATGGAAGCTGTTGTTGCTACGTTTGATGGGTGAGTTGGACTGTAAAAGTCACCTTCAATACAGCAAGTCATTCATTTGGTAATTATGGTTGAGAAAAATACATCGCTATCAAATCTGTTCTATCACATGTAATTTTTCCTCGGTGAGTCTTTGTGAAACGTGAAGATTACGATGCACTGGTACATGTAGGGAGAACTCACTTGATAGGAAAGTGCGAACTATTAGAACCTCCGTCCCTTTACTAGGTCTGGATGAAAAATAGGTCTAAGAAATTGCTCAATGAACAAATCAGAAGGGAAAAAAGATACACAAAAACCTTTTTCGTGAAATTGTGATGTACCTCTGACGAACACCAGCTGGAAAAATAAACGGCTTTATTTCTTAAATTGGCTTGTGTTAATCGCGTGCGAAATCATTATTTAGCATGTTTACAGTAAGGACACGTAATTCAATTTATCGAGCTATAACCGTAACACGTGATGTACTTAAAACAGGTATCTATGGGTTCTAGAAGGAGACAGTGGTAAGGTACTGGACGGATGGCCTGTCAAATTACCAAGTGAAGTACGAGCCACAGTTCTGGTTACTAAAATAGTTCCTGGAGAAAGTAGTGCCGCAGATATGGTAAGTAAACTTTGAATCACGAAGATTTTGCCACATTAGAAGATCGCCCGCTTTCCCAAGTGAAGTGCGAAACACAGTTCTGGTTACTAAACTAGTTTCTGGAGAAAGTCATAGCTTCTGTCTATGTCTAAAAACGTGAGGTTTTTTTGTTTGTTTGTTTGTTTTTTATGTGAATTTCTATGAATGAAGGTAACCATGAAACATGGACTAGAGCCATGCATCTTAAGGAGAAGCAGGTCAAGTTGCCCCGTGTTATCACTATGTGACAAGTTGATCCACATCCTTCCTTAGGTAGTTCCCCTGGTTAATGGCCAGATAGCGATCATACGGGGTATTGATCGCTGCACAGAACTGATCAATGTTGGTAAGACTGTGCTGGGGAGTATAGTTAGTGCTGACATAGTTCCAGGGAGGCCAGGTTTGGAGCTGGTGCTAGGGGCTGATGATGGGACCCTGTTGTGTTTAGGAAATGCGCCGAATGCACCGACAGATAGGTATGAACTTACTGATAATTTTGTTTTTGTTTGTTTTTGTATTTATTCAATCAAATGCGATTTTTAAAATGTTGGGCTAAATGCAATAGCGAACTTGATCAAAGTCTGATTATATCAGTGAAGTATTTACCCCACAACATCACGTTCAACAACACTCGTGCAACACTCCATGTAACCTTGCACAGGAATTGAATCGCTTCATCTATTTAAATTACCAGGAAGTAAGTTGTATTCTTACGGGTGTTTCATATCAAGGATCCATAGAAATCATATTAAATTGCTGAAAGATCAGTTTTCTATGACTTATAACTAACACAGTGCATTCTATTCTATGCTGAAGAAAGGGAGATAAATAATAAATGCGTGGCACTGTATAGTACCATGCTGGTTACCCAGCCCACAAAAGTTTTTCACTGTATCGCAGATATCAAGGATGCAAATGTAAGAAAATTCTTTCGTAGATTCATTCATCTAATTTGGACGTACGTAACAGAATATTCCAGTTACTTCTTTGGACTCGGCCTGAAGATCAAGATCATACTTATTACTGATTAAGAAATCAAGGTTCTATTACCTTTTACTTTCATTCTATAATTATGGAATATATGTTTGTCAGTCTTGCCCTCCCTGTAGACAGGAACGAACTGTTTTCATGGCCGGCAGAAACCTTGCCATGCAGTGGAACAACGTTTTACTCTGGGAAGGTAAACTCCCTTATCTTGACTTCGAATAATAATCTGAATTAGGACAGATTCCTAATTCAGTTCGATGACTCACCTTTGTAGCCGTAAGAAGTTGTTTCTACATAGATTTTACTAGAATTTGAAATGGAAAGAAGGCACAGTGTAGCTATGGCTCTCTTTTGTAATTTAATGTAACTTGGGCTATGTTCTGTAACAATACAAACAAAAAATTCCTGTTTTGATTTGTGGATAACGCATAGAGTGAATCATACATCCTTAATCACGCAGGAGAACTTCAATTAACGCCATTGCGGTAGACGTCTAGAAAATCTCGCACGCTATAACTGAAGCAAATTTTAGCGCTTTTTGTTCTCCCTTAAGGTATCTGATCACAATATTTAAGTAGGAGATAAATCTGATTTTCACATGTGGATAAGACATAAATTGATTCTGTGATCTTCACCGGTCAACTGTAATTAAAGTCATTGCAGAGAAAAAAGCTTGAAAAGAAATCCAAAAAAAAAAGAAATAAATAAAGATTCATGCCTTTAGGGGATTGTGCAGCGTCTCCATCCCCTTTGAGTGCCCAGTGATTATAAATACCCTTCGAAGCCTGAATCTTTTTTCCAAACTTTCCACTACAGTAACTGAAATTAACCTGTGAAGATCAATTGCTCACCGGTTAGAGTGATATTCACGCAGACTGTTCACTGAAGTTTTCCTTGACCCTCGTGTATTTCTTTGTATCTTGTTTCTTTTACAATCCAGGTTGGAGTACGGTTCACAACTAAATCTCTGGAAAATACACAGATTACGGGGAAATATTTTCCCATTGCGTTTGAAATCAGAGATGATCAGCCAATGGACGTGAGAGGAAAATTACACAAGTTAAAGGTTTGTTCATGAAGGGAACATTACTACCATTGACTGACTGACTAAATGACTGGCTGGCATACTAAATTACATGCTAACCGACTGCGTGACTGACTGGCAGACTGACTGGAGACTGGCTGGCTGGCTGGCTGGCTGACTGACTAACTAACAAACAGACTGACTGAATGGCTGGCTGACTGACTGAGTGGCTGATTGATTGATTGACGAACGGACTGACGTTCTGAGTGACTGACTGATCGACTGAAGAACGAACCAACGGTCTTACTGTCTGTGTGACTGACTGGCAAACTGACTGGATGGCTGACTGACTGAATAACTAATCGAATGACTGACTGAAGAACGAACTAACGGTTTTTCTGTCTGTGTGACTGACTGGTAGACAGACTGGATGAACGAACTATCGGTCTTACAGTCTGAGTGACTGGCAGACTGACTGAATAACTAATAGACTGACTGACGAACGAACTGACGGTCTAACTGTCTGAGTGACTGATTGGTGGACTGACTGGATGGCTGATTGTCTGAATAACTAATAGACTGACTGACTGACTGACCGTATGACTGAATCTCAGCTTCATTGTTATTACTGTAACTTAAGAATGTCTTTTTGTAGATTATCATTGGTAGGCGACTCATAATCAAGAAGAGTTACAAGTCTCCAGGATTATACACCGAACAAGTTGAAGTTCCATCAAAACCGTGCAGGGCTGTTGTATCAGTACAACTTTTCACCGAACACGGACAGTGCTTTCAAAGCTCTCTACATGCAAGGTACATCTGTTTGTTATTAAGTGGGCGAAAGGGCTACATTGGGAAAACATTGTGATTCTTGGTCTCGAGAACAGCCCGAGGCCACAGGCTGAGGGTCACATAGCGCTTAGTTTTTCCCAGTGAGGATCGATTTTGTGTTGGTAATATGAAATGTTTGTCTTCATTTTTCATCTTCTCATTGAATGAGACTAAGTGCCGTCCATAAACCGTTTGTAACTCCTCATATATTCACAACAAGCGACTTGGCAATACTCAAAACTGCTATGTGTTTTAAAGGAAATTTTTGTGTCAAGTCGTCGAATTCAGTTCCAGTCGTATACATGTATGCTAAATTCTTGTGTTTTGTGTGAAAAGTTGGTTTCTTAATGAAGTCTGTGAACTTTCTTCCTTCGAGCAAAAATTGTTTTAACCAATTTTGCAACCTGTACCTGTACCTGTACCGTTTTTATCCAAATGAATTACTTCGCTCCTTTATCACATCGAATACGAGGCGTTTCAAACTTATTATATTTTGTCCTAATAATTTCGCTGGTATTTGTGTATACTAACCCGTTGCCACCATGTTATGTTTTAAATCTCTTTTTCTTTTTTTTTTGGACAGTTTTAATGGCCACTTTAAAGATGACATGGCGTGGCTGCTACTGGTGCCGTTCATAACAACTGGATGTCTTCTGTTGATTCTTCATGGTTGGACACAAGTGAATGCAGATGTTCTGCCAACGATAATGACGGGGAAAAAGCGATAGCAGTAAATGCTGAAGAAACAAAGAAGGACACTCAAAAACTACAGATATGCTCAGTTTCCATGGTGTAACAGGACAACCAGAGTGTAAACAGGGATATGTGTAATGGACAAAGAAACGGCGTTCTCCATGAAGTCGAACAGAAAATTCTCCTACCATGTGGCTTTATAGCTCAGTAGATGGTAGCACCCTCTGGCTTCCGGCAGGTACAGGTTCAAGTTCCATCAAGTTTTGGTCATTGATTTCTTCAGTTGCTTCGAGTGCAGTATTACTGAGGGCATCAAGCCATCTCTTCCTCAGTCACTCATCGTACTTAGTGCCAACAAGAACGTTTGGAGAAAATAGGAAGACTTTACGAAAAGACTATCGAGAATGGAATCGATTGAATGTAACTGGTTTATCTGTGTCATCGCTTTGGGGAAAAATAGTAGCCAACAGAAAGAGTGGTAAACAACAGAAACCTACTCTGAAGTCCTCCTTGGCTCCGTTCATCCCGTAAATATCATTTTAAAACCAAGCGACATAGTAGGGATGAAGTAGTTTTTTTTAAAATGTAAACTGCGAATTAGACAACCTTCTCGTTCATGTCTAATATACACCAATACCTTCAAGTCGTAAAACGTGGTTAGATAGGAAAAGCGAGAGAGCCCGTAGCGTAGATCACAAGTATACGTACTACATATGAATTATTGACCAATGATGAGGTCAAGGTGGCTCAATATTCGCTGAGTTCATTTTTCGTATTTTTATGGACCGTGGCGAAATCAAGGTCCACAAAAGTACAAAAAAAGAACAAGGGTAATATCCAGGGCCGGGTTGTTCAAAGCTGGGTTAAGATAACCCAGGGTTAGTGTGAAATCCGATTTCAGATCTAAAAGCTTTACAAGAAAATTCAGTCGAATTCTTTTTGTTTAGAGTATGACTACTTGATGCTTTAAAAAGGACACTGAAAATTTTCCCAAAAAGGCTTTTGAGTAAAGGAATAAAGAAACGCAGATTAAAATTTAACCCTGGGTTAGCGCTAATCGGCCTTCGAACAACTGGGCCCAGTATCTTAACCGAACAAGCTTCAGAATATTAGCACATAAGCGCGGGTGGATATGGAGTTTCTCTTTGATCGAGTGCCGAACTCGATACTCACGAGTGAGCGCCTCGTGAGTCCTCAACATTTTGACCACTGTGATAAAAAATGTTGGATAAGAATACAGACCACGCTAAACCACTGACGATATTGTCAATTGGCAGTGGACATTCTGTGAGGTGGTTCTTCTTGTCCTCGGTTTCCAGGTCGAACAGAAATATAGGATATTGTGGAGGAAGGGAAAACCGGAAGACCGGAGAACAACCCTTCGAGCAAGGACGGGAACCAACGACAAACTCTACATTTGACACCAGCGGCACATTTCTCGAAAGGCCCTGTAACTTAACGGGCCCGTAAAGCTGTTCTGTTTCCATTCAAGAGAAGGTTTAAAACATTTCGAAAATTATGCGATAAAACTTGCAGCTAAAGAAACAAAATTGGACTGGTGAGGGAGCCAGAAACTGATTTTTTATTGTTTAGAGGCTTTAATCTAGCTGTACTAACAATACAGATTAATCAGAGACTTTAAAGGGAAACTTGTGGTGAAAGAACTCTCGTGTAAGAATTACAGTGATTGTCGCATTTTTAGCGATTAAATCACTTGCTCGGTATGTTTATCGGCTATCCCAACATCTGTGTGGAAAATAATGGATTGAAAGTAAAAACTGTAGAGTTGATTAAAAATAGTGGCCCGTAACGAGGACAATATCGTTATTTAAGCACTGAATGTTACTCTGGTTTCTAAACGAGGGCGAGAACGTGGAGTGCAGCCGGTACAAAACTAAACACATAGTTTAAGTACTCTGGCGTCTTTATTTTCATTTAGCGCGTGAAAAACCGCCTGCCTCTCATCAGGCTAAGCCAACTGTGATTTAGTCACTCGTGTTTTCACGTGCTTTTTGTATCGTTTGGAATTCTTATGGGATTTCTGTCATATTTTCTTTTGATGTAATCAAGTAACTACTTGGTTTGTGGTTTCAGGATATGTTGCCGCCAAAATTATTGGGTTTTCATTTGGACGTTATTCATTTTTTCGCCTTTGTCGCTTTTTCAATAAGTTCTTTTGTTTTCATGCACGTTACTTTCATCGATATTGTTACTTTTTTTTGCAAAATTTCTCTTTGTTTGGGTCATTCGTACAAGTTCTTTACCTAAATTTTATTCATTCGGCTTTATCGTTTAACTTGCACTGTTCCATCGTTTTCTTCATCGTTTTATATTATCTTTAACCAGCCAGGATCTCGTACAACGTTTGTAAGTGTCTTTAGATGTCCTTTATTTTGTTTCCCGTTTGTCGATTTCTTTACGTAATATTATAGGTAACTTGTTACTTGTTATTTTTATTTAGCAACCGCTTCAAATGTTCATTTCACTCCAATTGTTACCTTCGCTTCAATACTTGAGTTTGTTGAAGAATGTTTGCCTTCAGGTCGCACGTCTCCAAAGTTGTCGTTTTCACTATAAACACTTAGGGCCTGTTTACGTGGAGGTGGGGGACCCCAGGAAGGTGAGGTAACCCGCCTAGGTGGGGTAACTGACCTGTCCATATTATTTCTTATTTTATTTTGATCACGTTTACATGGTAGGTGGGGTGACCCGCCTAGGCAGGTTGCCCGGTCTGCCACGTAGGGTAGCCCTCTCAGCCGGGGTGACAATTTGCCATGTAAACGTGTCAAGGTGGGGTAACCCGCCTGGCCGGGGTCGCGTTCATGGCAAAAAGCTCAAAAGCGAAACATGTATGTTTTAAAACTTTGTGCATTTCCTAGCCGTCTCATGGCAGAAATCACCAGAAACCGCAATGGTCACACAAGGATTGTAAAATGTTCACATTTCGGAATATTTAGCGTTGTAAATCGACTATATTTGGTTTCCCAAACTATTCCGTATAACGTATTAAGTCAACGGTTCCTCACGTAACCAAACACCGCGTAACACAACGCGTGACGCTTTCATGAATAAATACATATGTGTCCGAGAATTAATCTTTCGTCTTTTTCGAGATGTGAGCTTGGGACACCTCTGCGCAAACTCCTTAGTTGCAAGGGCAACAACAACCTCGAAGAACCTCACCCTAGCTCCCTGGGGTTGTAAGATTGCATGTAAACGCGTTTTCTTTTTCGACCACGGCAAGGCGGGTTACCTCACCTACCTGGGGTCCCCCACCTCCATGGAAACAGGCCTTAGAAACGAGGTTATCACATGATAAATCGTTTGCGAATCGACTTCAGGTGAGACGGATCAACTTTGCTTATGACGAGTCGAGTCGATCCCTGCGAATCGTGTCGATTCGTCAACATTGAATACCCGAATTTAACGCTTACTTATGCGAATCGACTTCTGGTGACAGATCGACTTTACTAATGACGAGTCGAGTCGATCCGTGCGAATCGTGTCACATATGCTGGATAGTATGCTGTTCACTTTTGCATAGATGGCAAAAATCATCAGATATTACGTTGGCCGTTTTGAGTTTGTCTTTGGTGTAAATGGCGAAAGTGATTAAGAATACAGTTTTCGCGTCATTAATCATTAAAACGATTCGCAATGAACCAGGAGCGAACGTCAGCAATGTACTCCTCACTCACACAGACAGCGTTAATATCCGAATGGATAGAGGAAGGTCGGAAAGAGAGGTCAATCTGAGTGTCGTCAGCGTACCCATGGATGGAAGGGAGGTGTTGAGAAAGAATGTTAAAGAGATGGGAGACGTAGAGAGTAAATAAAGTAGGCCCCATACAACTACCCTGGGGGACTCCACAGTTCAGATTAAAGTCTTCCGAAGTCACATCAACAACAAGTATATGTTGTTTAGCTTTGTTTGCAACCAGACAGAAATGAGTCGATCCAATTTAAAGCAGATCCAACGACTCCAAAATCCTGTTGCAAGGTCTTCAGGAGAACGGAATGTTCAGTGGTGTCAAAAGCAGTACCAAGGTCCAAAAGCACGAGAAATGTCACTTCCTTGTAATCTATACTCATTAAGATGCATGTCATTTTGAACCCCTAATGGGACAGTCTCCGTCGAGTGAAACTTACTTTTTTCACAGTGGTTGAGAAGTTGTCGAAGTGCAGATTACTATATACACTCGACGCTACATCAAATAAGGCTTTTCTGACCACAGTGTTATCGAATTGACTTCTTTTTCATCGGTTCAGAAACAATTTTCGATGCCTTTCGCCATTTTGAAAAGTCATTTGATAAAATCGCCCAACTCGATCGATTAATTTCACTGGCGACTCGCTGTGGAAAGGGGAGAAAATCGCGGGACTTGGCGAATGCCGGTGTATTTAATAGCCGATATATGACATGCCAGATATTGGCGATTTTGTACCCCGATCGCGGCGGAAAATCGTAATTGCCGCACCTGGCACACCAGGCGATTTTCGCCGATCGCCACGATCAACGTATAAAATCGCTTGGTGTGTCACCGGCTTTCAGGTGAAGTTAGGAAATTATGGCAGACCAAGGAGAGAACGAAACAACCGACAGAACGCGGCAAAACTCAGGACGTGTATGTAATTCAAATAGTCAGTACTTAACAGTCACTTAAAGCTGTTTTTCGGAAAGATATTGAAAATCTCTCGGGCATTTGGGAAATTTCTAATTTTGAAAATAAAATTATTAAGAGTTCAGTTCACCGGAATGGGGCCGAAGTTTTCATTTGACGAAGGGCGGCATATTGTCACATCTTTTTATTCTGAGGGCTTCTCTTATTATAATTTGGGTTACAATCCACATGTAAAGTTACCAGCTAAAAGTTGGCTCTATAAGGGACTTACCAAATTTTCAATGATGACAAAAATGGCCGTTTCATCAAAATTAAATATGGACCAGAAATTGAAAAGCTACAATAAAATATGTAGAATTTGTATCTTTTGTGTCTTAAGTTCTGAATCATTTAATTTGAATACTAGTAAGCACTGAAAATGGAAATCTGAACTTTTCACTTTGTTCCTTTCATTTGTATCATCTCGATGATAATATTCCAACCATTTTCACAAGTTAAAGGTTCATGTGATTAATGGAAAAATTAATTCCCTCAGCAAGATTCATTAATTAAAAGTACACTAGGTTTTAGATGAAATGGTCTTGATTCACTCATTCTCTTTGCATGTACCTCTTTCATAAATGGTGGGCTAATAGCTTTTCTGGCCTCTATAATACACTTTAAAACAGTAGAAGATAGACCAAGAGGGCTAATTTGAATGCGCAAATGAGGATGATGATCATGCCTGCTATATTGTGAAAGTGGACTTTATTCTCTAGGGTTACTGTGCAATTGCATTATAAGAACTGAACTATATGATTCCAAATAAAGTCCACTGTGCCAATCAGTGCATGGGACCAAAGCAGGTAAAGATGAAGAAGATCAATTTAGCTGGATTTCATTATTCCTTCCAACAATCAGATTTTTCAGTTCTTCATAAGTAATCTTGTAGGTAACACTGCTTAGCAACTGTGAGCAGTACATGAAAACATTTATAAAATTTGTTTCTTCAAATAAAGAAATGTTTAGATTTGTCATTAATTATGGATACACGTCCTAATCCAGAGGATTGATATCCTGCTTAAGTATTGTTTGGATGTCATGGAATTCCAGGGTTTGGTTGCCATCTTGTTGTTGCTGGCTGGTGTTAATCTTAGCTATTGCAAGTGTTGTGATGAAAGATGAATGAACCACATAAAACCAAGCCAAGCATATCATCAAGTTGTAATTTTATTTTGCCTTGATTACAAAATCTCACAAGCTCTTTCGTGTATTCATGAGAAATTATACCTCCAGTTGCAATTTTTTTAGTGTGTGCCTTCTGCCATTTGGAAAACTCATGTGATAATATTGCCCCACTTGACTGGTTAATTTTATTGGTGACTCGCAGTGGAGAGGGGAGAAAATCACGAGAACAGGCAGACTTGCATATTTTAGTGTGTTAGCTAGCCAAAATGTTCTGTTTGGTGATATGTGTTGGAGAGTTTCAAAGTTGAGTGAAGCAACCAACCAGATTTGTCACATTATCATGATGCTGTCTTGATCTTCTTTTTTGGTTTTTAGTATGGGATCAGAACAGTGTGTGTGGTCATTAACTCAAACAAAAAAACTGGAGATGAGTCAAACCAATTTAAATTAACAACTTAGAAGTTGTCAAGGCATGGTATGACAACATTTGTGCACAAGTAAGTTATTGTGATAGTACCTGGATACACTTAATCAGAAGACATGAAACAAATTCCAAAAACATCATGTACAATCATTTGATATCTGTAACCAAGGAAATTGATTCATATTTCATTTAAAGACATTTCAAAATGTAGGTTAAACTCACAGGTGAACTGCATTATTAATTTTGGATTTTCCTCTCTTTTTTGCGCTGAAATCATTCAAACATTCAATGAGACATTTTTTAAGCATAATATGACAGTAAATTTGTTTATATATTTATTTGTTGCTTGATAAGCTAACTCGGATGAATATCAAGACCAATGTTGTAAAAAATTATGATATTATGCAGAGTGAAAATAGACCTATAAATGCAAACTTCCAGTCTGTAGTCTTTATATGTAAGATGTTACGCCAGTAACTAACGGCGTAATTTCTTCCAGTCGGTAGTCTTTATATACTGTTAGATTTACGCCGTTAGTTAACGGCTTAAAATCTTACATATATATACACCGACGCAGATAGTAGCATAAAATCGTGCAGTCTGTACTACAGTCGGTAGTAGTAATAGTAGTAGTGGTAGTAGATCTTTATTTAAACTCGGTTAAGAATCTTTAGTTATAATAGTAGTATTTTAATTACAATCATTTGTAAAAATTACAATAACTATAAAAATTGATTTACAAGATTGCCGAGTGGGAATCGAATGTTTCAAGTGCGCGGTTGATTTCCTTCTTAAACTGCCCAATTGATCTAATCGCCCTAATATTCTCAGGAAGAGAATTCCACAGTAACGCACCGCTATAGCCAAAGCTACGTTTCAAATAGTCAGTACGCGGCTTGGGTAAGTTTAACTTACGGAAAGAATCACGCAAGTCATAGTCTGTGTGTTTCTCACTGAATAAATCATGCAAGTACACTGGGGCTAACCCGTTGAGGGATTTAAACATCGTTATAGCTTTCTGCTTTCTTCTTCTTAATAATAGCTGGTCCCACTTCAAAGTTTCAAGAAGCAGGCTTGAGTTTACCTCACAGTTGGCTTGCAGAATAACCCTAGCAGCTCGATTTTGCAATTTTTGTAGTTTCTTACGTAGATAAGAACTCAATCCGTCCCAAACGGGGGCACAGTAATCAAAATGAGGTTGGATTAAAGCGTTATATATTTGTACTGCAGTGGACTGAGAAATGAGGGACCTAATGCGCCTCAGAGCACCTATTGCCGAGGATATCTTT